AGAAATGTAAGAATTCAGGCGAGCAGCATAAACAGTTTCCCATCCAGCAGACCGTGATGATCTGTTGTGACGCCAAAGTGGTAAAATAGTAGGCATTGGATATGCTCCATGTAAATCAACATTCACATAATGATCACCTCTAACAAGAGCATAACAACAACTCTATGAGTTGAGATGTCTTGGGGACCAAGCCATAGTGGAAAACATGTTGATGGACTATCTTTGCTTAGAATAGGAAGTACGTTGGATGTAATAGGAAGTATGTAGGGCGTACTCCCAAAAACCCATTTGGGCCATTCGTGTACCCATTGGACTGGTACAACTTTAAATGCATATGATACAACTCGTTGAAGCATACCGAATGTTAGTTTATCTACTACGATTGTAGGGATGTATATTTGGACCGAACTGGACCAGACCGTCTCTTGGACCGAATTAGGTTTGCAGAAATTGGTGGACCTTGGACCGGACCTGTTTAGAGGTCCTAATATCCCCCTAATATTTGTCCGCATAACGTGTATATAATAAATATTTATATAGTACGCAACGTGTACGACGAACAATTATTTTATTCGTGAGTTTTTTTATTTAATAAAATCAATAATTATCACTTAAAATATCTAGCCCTAACTTACGAGCGTTATATATATATATATATATATATATATATATATATATATATATATATATATATATATAATAAAGTTATTGAAATGTGATAGAATAAGAAATATAAGGGTGTGTTTTGTAACTTTCATCTAATTTAAAGGGAATAAAATGATTTTTTTTTTTGAAAACGATTGAAATTATATAACTGAGATGATGGGATCGATTAATCAAACTAATCTAATAATTGCTTATACACGAATTTATTCGTGTTAATAGGAGTACCCCTTAATGTATACATGTATGTATCGATGTGATGTTTGCGTGACCTGGTCACGATGCCGTCGACATGACCCGAAGACCGATCCATAAAGCACGCACCGGATTATATTATATAATTCTAATGAAAGAGTCACATGTGGTTAGTAGAGTAAATGACAAATTTTGTCACTTTCATTATATTTCTACTCGTAGGTTTAATTTTTTAAATAATTCTTTTTCTTTTTAAAACGTTGGGTCTACAATAAAGATTTGTATTGGGTCATTCAGACTAATTATGTTAGTTAATGACTGTTACGTACTTACGTTATGACTTTTTCTGCATTGTCATCATCTTCAAGATCAGAAATCTAATCCCTTCGTTACTATTGAAGTGTATAATTATTAAAGATAAAGCAAAAATAACAAAAAAAAAAAATGAAAAGTAAATGTTTTTGGTATAATGAATTAAATTACAAAGATACAATATACCTATACATATAGTACAATACATTGGTTGATCGAGTTGGCGATTATGTTTAGGTTAACAATTCTAGTCGATTACCAAGGGGAGGAGCCGAGGAAATGCAATGGTTTGATTTAAAAGGTATTCTAATTCTATAGAGTTTGACAAATAAAAAATGATTGGTGTTGTAAACAAACCGAATAAAAAAGAACAAAAGTTTGTTCTTGTTCGTTTGTTTAAGTTAATCGAATAAGCGAATACGAACGATTTTTTTCATGATTTACAAGATTATATTATTCATCCTTGATCGTTTATGTTTGCTACGATGGTAAACAAAAATAAACAAACAAACTTAAAAATACATATATAAACATAAACAAACATATAAGAATACAAACTAGAACTTGATTGTTAATATTTATGATATTGAAGATACTTAACGTTTAGAAGCTCAGTTTTTACTCTTTTACTTTTACCGTTTCTATAAAAACCACTTTAGTTAGATTTTTTTTTTCCATATTCACTATTTTTTTTTTCAAAAAAAACCAACTTAACATGCTATAAGAGGTTTCCAAGTTAAAATAATTCTTTTAATATTTGATTTAACCATCCGATGATTTTTGTTAGATTTAAGCATAACATTTAATAGCCGTTGGGAGCTGAGGAACTTTTCTTTTTAGCAAGGTCCAGGGTTGGTCAGGTCAGACCAACCCGATTCACGAATTTCATGCCGTGATTCTCGTCAGATTCTTCTGGAACACCCAAAAACGTGCTGCTAAGATCATTGGATCTTCTTCTCTCTCCCTCTCTGCGATTTTGCTTATGCTAAATTTAGGTTTCTTACAATTTTTTCGAGTAATCACTTTGCGTTTATTCCTATTCCATAGTTGTTGGAACGATGAATATACTGCATCAAATCCTAAGTGTTTACGTTGAAGCTTACAGCCTTAGATCGATGTAAAAACCTTTAAGGACATGAGCTTCTTCATTTCCGTGCAGTCAACACGAATCGATATCAACTACGAGGTTGGTTTTACTTTACTGTTTCGTCTCTTTAATTTCGTTCAATAACAAGACAGTCAGCTTCTATTATTTTCTTATAATCAGATGATCAGATCTGATAGTAAATGATCGATCTGGTTTATAGACGAAACTTGGTAATCATATTAATAATAATTTGATTTATTATTCACAACTAATTTGTCGGTTTACTTACATGTCTATTGGATATGATATTCAACATTATTTTGATCAAACAATGCATGCGACATTTATATACATGTCGATTTTCTGAAATGAGAACAAAATAAGTTCTCGCGGTTCACTCCAAGTTTTGAGTTTTCGGTTGATCTGAACCGTATAATATTTGCAAACAATCTGTTATAGTCGGTCTATGATGTTAACTTGGAAGTGTCATTGTCTTAGACAATGTAACATCATAATCTTGATTCAGTTATATGTATATATATTTGTGTTTCCTATGGGTGCCACACTCGGGAGGGAAATGAAAAAGCATATAACCACACAAAGTTACATGTATAAGAACAATATATTTTTCATCACCCAACATAATTAATTACATGACCTACTCATTCTTTCAATATCAAACCATACCATACTCCACGTTATTCAGTTAATGGGTACCACTATATATTTATTTTAATGGGTACCACTACATATCTACTTAAATAATGACTAAAGACAAACAAAAATTAAAATCTTATATGGGAAAACGATATATAAAACATACTGAATGAAGTTTTCTGGATCATCGACTCTTTCACAAACAGTAAGTGTATCGTATAACCGTGACACCTTTAACTTTCTTTGGGGCCAACTTGGTCTTGCTGTTGATACCCATCAATACTTTTTTCTTAGCCAAAAAGTTGGTTTTGGAACACACTTGGGTTTATTTATGATGGTTATTGAATACTTTATTGTCGGTTAACCAGGATTTGATACACTTGAGCCATTAATTAAATCGTAACGAAATAGGTTTGATGATTCATAGATGGTCAGAATTCAATCATACAAGAAAGTTCACGACCCACTATTATAAAACGATACCCTAGAAAACTAGATCATGTGCTCGAACAATCTTGGATAAGTACATATCAACCATCATGACACATACAATCAGAGGAACCTTCGAGAGTCATATTAAACAAAAATAATTCAAATTTGAGAAGGAAAAAAAAAAAAAAAAAGAGTAGCAAGTCATCTTTTTTTCATTAAAATTACATCCCGTTAATCATACGTAACCAAGCATAGAAACTCTAACTCTACAAAATATCTATTGTTTTGTCATTGTAGCGTATTGAAGTTGGAATAGACGCGATGAGTTGTAACTATTATGGAAAAGATATCGCCAAATTAGTCAATTTCCGTGTATAAACATGATTGCATATTCGGTTTATAAAATTACTTCGAGACATTAACTGAAAAAAGGTGGCACGTCAGTTTAAATACAAGAATTTAATACCTAATAAAAAAACAATTTTTTTTTCGAAAAACTGCTACAGAATGGACTATTAATATTGCAATCAGGTTATCCATTTAAGATCTAATCGAGAATTTAGACATGATCTTGGTTTGAAAGAGTTTACAAATTACAATTACGATTATTATTAGAGATCAAAAAAACATCCCACATCACATGGTGCTAAAAATTATATGACGGTCAATTTTATCTGAAATATTTAAAATGCTGATTGGTTCAGATCAATTAAAAATTAGATGTGTTGCTGTTGCAGAATTTTTTTTTTTCTGGAGCGGTGGAATTGTTGTTGGAGTTGATAGAAAAAGAAAAAAATCTAATAATGGAATAATGAAAGTTTATATGTCATGGAGAGATAGTAGATAAGTAGATAGTGTTATTGCTTATTGGGTCATTCATATGTTAGAGGGCCCAATTATTATCTTTATAAAACTCCGTCTCCTTATGAATTTCTTTTTGATATAATCTTGTTGCTGAAAATGGAATGTTTGATTTATACTATGAAAAAACTCATTATTTTTTCTTTTTCAGAAAAACAACATTTTAATAGAAATTTATGAAAATGAAATAGGTTGAATTTGAAGGCGTAATGGTTTACTGGTGCTAACATTACTGGAGTACTATTTACCTTAACTAAAGTTTTGTTTTTGCGCTAGTTTTTTTTTTTAAAACATTACTTCAAGTTTAAACTCTAATTTGAAAATTGTCATCCAATCCAAAGATGATTGTTAAACACTAATAATTGAGGTACACAAATGAATGCACACATTACTACTCATCATGCATGATGGATTAATACGTATAAACAACCTACAATGCAAAGATGAAATACACTTTTATAAATGAATCCTCTCCTTGTTTCCCTTGATCAAATATTTAATATTTAATGTGGATTAATCAAATAGAATCAATTTCATCCCCAGACATCCTCACCTGAGACCTCACTTATGGACATTACCAATAAACGATTAGCAAGAGTCGCTTTGACTTTGACTAAATCAAGAATCAAGACTATGACTACTTATTAGAGAAGAGGCAAATATGGATACCAATTACATGTTAAATCAGAGGACACAAATAAGGGTTAATACCTCAAATTCAAAATGTCAAAGACAAGATTTCCAGATTTTATAATAATAATATAACAGTAAAAAAAAAAAAAAAAAAAAAAAGCTAACCACAGAAGTTGAGCTTTTTCATGACTTTGGCATATGCTGCTGGGACTAGGGCTGGTAGTCTACCTCTTCGTTTTGCAATTTTGGACTGCATCAACCAATATCATACATCATACATCATCCATCATGTATGGCATTGGCATAATATATGCATATACCAAGAATTAACAACATTTGATACTTGACATTCAGAATAGCAAGAATTTTTCTGGCTTTTTACTTTTTTACAGTTAATAATTGATGAATATAGTATGATGCACATCATATTTTGTTCACTTCTTTTAATGCAGATGGAATGGATTTTTTGAATTAAAACTGGTGATACTTGTAATGCTTTGCAAATTTTTACCAATCTAACAAATACCTAAAGAGATGCATGCCTTTTATTTATAAATTATAATACTCAATTATTCTAAAATGGTGAATAAAAAGAGAGGATGCTAAAAACATGCCTTTAGATGAGCATTATGTCGTTTGCCTTCCTTCCACCTCCTAATCTGCCCATCTTTCATAGTCCTAAATCGCCCTTTGAAAGACCTGATAAACATAACTTCTCTCTCATTCTCATATGCATATGATGCTGATTCACAAAGTTTTTTTTTAAAGAAATTTGAAGAAAGAATGAAAGGTATATGTACATACGAATAAGACTTCATTTTGATTTTCTTGAGCTTGGAGACTACAGGGGTAAGTGGCTGCCTACTCTTTAACTTCCTCTTCCTTTGCTTCAGAGTAAGATGCCTCACTTGCATCACCTGTATCACAAAGCTACAATGTTATTTATTATCACTACTGTCTACTACCAATTTAGCACTTCAATGTTTCAAAACAAAAACATAACCCCAGTGATTCCATGGTAAATTTCAATTGCATACCAAATTTAAAAATATTGAGTGAGCAAACTTACAGAGAGAGGAAGTGAAGAAGACCGATTGGAGCTTGCTGTAAGTTGTTGTAATGTTGAAGATAGTAGTAGGGAACCAAAATTGGGAGGAGAAATCATAGAATGAGTAATTAGGGATTTGTTGCTGAGATTTGAGGCGGCAGAATGGAAGAGACTGTGGTGGAGGTGGTGGTGGTGGGAGGAAAGAAGCTGTTGAGGAGGTTTAGGAAACGTTGAAGAAGATAATCCTCCGAGCAATCGGAGCTTGGAGCACCATCTCTGCATTCTTTTCTTGGTTGCTCACTTCACGCCCTAGAGATTGATCCAAACGACCCCTTTAGTTATTATCATAACAAACTTTGTAATAAATCTATCATTCTTTATAAAATTTGGAAACATTTTGCATAAAATTAAGTCTGTTTGTTATAATTTTTATGCGTTTATGCTACTACAAATACAATACTCCTCTTCAAAGAATTGAAAAGCATAACATGTGCATTACTAAAAAGTACCATAACATATTAACCTGTCAAACCAACTCATTGTTTCAGAAGCACCATAACAGAACATAAACTCATTGCAATACTGATCAACTATTAGGACTGAAATCTGAATGAAGTGTCTTGTTCCAAACTAGAACAGTGGGTGGTATGAGCTACATCCAGTTACAAACCGACTAAACACTATAAAATCAAAAAGGAAAGTAGATGAAATTCAAAAAATTAGAATTGGAAACAGATGAAATGGAGCAATAGAACATGATTCAAACAATCAGACATCAGGTTTTCAAGTTCAAAGCACATTCGAGAATAGAAAAGGACTGCAGCGATTAATTACAGAGATGGAGAGTATGAGGGCGATGCTAACGTACCGATTTGTTGCTGTTGCTGTTGCTGGGGGTCTCGAATCTCGATCGAGGGATCGCCGATGGAAGTGATTAGAGAGAAAGAGACGATTAGGTTCGATTTCGAGGGCAAGCGAGTCCATTTTCTCAAGAGATCTGTCTGATCCGATTCACAGCCCGTTAGCTCACCATTTCGGGAGGCTAAAAAAAGCCCAACTATTTCACATTCATTTTAAAATTTTACAACACGATTTCTTTGATAAAAGAAAAGATTTTTTTTTTATTTTATTATCTATTAACTTTTTAAAATATCATAATTTGTCAAAAACATAAAATTTCTATTCTTATATTTCAAACAACAAAACACATTTAAACATTTCATGTACACCCTTTTAGTATAAGTGTGTATTTGATATTAATATTTTAATATTACTTTATAATTTTCAAAAAAAAAAAAAAACACTTATAAAAATATGCACAAGTTTATAGACTCCTTGTGACGTTTTAAAGTCCATAGAATACGATCAATGTCCAATGAAAGTTTATAACCACGCATGATCATAAATCTTATTAGTAACGAATAATAAATATATAATGCTAAACAAGTATTAGTGTTGACAAGAAATTGTTAAAATATATATATTATGCCTTCAGCTATTGTTTTTTTAGTAAAATATGCAAGTGGTGTTATAGAAAACATATAACTAGTATAGTAAAATTTTACTTCTTTTGTATCTTTTTTTTTTTTACTTTTAGTTTTATTATTGGTATCTATTCTCTACTTTTATTCATCATTGTGGGCTTATTCATCATTGGTATCTTTGTTTATTTTTTTTACTTTTAGTTTTATTATTGGCATATGTTCTCTGTTTTATCTCTTTTTTTCATTTTCTTTGATTCATCATTGTGGGCTCTTGTTTCATATTTTGGAGGTCATCCATGAAAGAAACACCCATATCCTTGAATAGAGGTATGATTGCCTACATCTTATCTTCCCTTGCCATATTAATATCGGGATTTTCTTTTTGTTGTGTTGTTGTTTTTGTCCAAGTTGACAATACATAGTGAATAAAGAGACAAGTAACTAGACAACAACACCGCTTCCAAGTTCTAACATAGAACCTACCAACAAGGTTATGAATATTTTTTCTTCCGATAGTTAAGGATGCTTCAAAACATAAAACCATTTTTGATATTTGTACCTTTTTGCCCCATTTTTGACAAATTAGTCATTTTCAATCATAATGATGTTTAGCTCCATGTTACTTTACTCCAAACTCACACTAAAAGTGTTTTAAATATGTATAAAGGTTAGTAGGACTTTTTAAACAAATTTCCTTTGGCACTATTTGATGTTTTTCTTATTTATTAGACATCCTATTTTGCTTAATTTTGATTTTTTTGAGTTTTAGGATGTCATTTTAACACCTTACTAATTTCAATATATTTACGAGTCAATACTAATACTTAGATATCAAAGCATTTCCTATTAGGCTCTTTTATGCAACTTTTAGCATTTGACCTAAGGGTGTTGACCGGGTATATATTTTGGGTTTCGGGTAGTTCGGGTCGAGTAGATCGGGTTTTTCCTTAAAATAATAATACCCGATACCCGACATATATTGCAATTCGGGTTTTCGAGTTTTGGGTATTCGGGTTTTAGGTCAGGTCGGGTATTTTCGGGTATAACCAAAAAATACTTAAGTATCACTAATTGGATTTTTATTATGAGAAAATATAATCTAATTTAGTATGAGAAAATATAATCTAATTTAGTATCTTGTAATATAATCTATGAGCAACATTTCCATTCTTTGTAATTAACCCATTATTATACAACTTTCGAACCATATTAAATTAGACTTGTACAATACAAAAAAGAGTATCAACAAAAACTACATGTTCGACTTAATTAGTCAAACATACAACAGAGAGAACAAAGGGTTAAAATCTATATATATATATATATATATATATATATATATATATATATATATATATATATATAATATATATGGAAAAAGTGAATATACCTAACAACCCTATATAAGCTTATATACCTAAACCTTATACTGCGTCATTTTACCCTGCTATCTAATGAAATCACGTCCAATTGATTTTCTACGAATCTAATTATTCTTAATTTTAATTAAGAAAACAACTTCCAAAATTATTTCACAAATACGTGCTTGTTACCGTCGACTGTTGTTGTTTTCTTAATCGACTAGTTCTATTTTCTTAATCTCTTAAACGATTGTTTGTCGTGATTATTAGCAATCGATTGGCTTCTATTGATCACGAATTTTACTTATCAAGTGATTGGTGTTGCTTGTGCGAAACTGGTAATTACGACATCAAACTTATAAATTCTTTATTTTTATTTTGTTTATCTTGAACGTAATATACCTTATTAGGGTTCAGGTATACATTAATGGCTGTTAATGGAATTCATGTTTGATCTTGTAACCGCTAGTTCCATTAATTTCATGTTTTTTATTTACTTCTCACGGGAGGAAGCATATATTGCAATAATGGCGTTAATCAATTGAGTATTTAATCAACGTGTATGCATTATTTTTACTAATATATTTCGATGGCATCTTATATACATTAATGGTGATAATGGAATTCACGATTCATCATCTTGTAACCATTAATTCCATTAATTTTTTGTTTTTACATGTACTCCTCACGTTAGGAAACATAGATTGCATTAATGATGTTAATCAGTTGATTTTTTAATCAACTTGTATGAGGTTAAATTCCTTATCAAATTGGCATTATTCTTGTTTCTGTTTTCTGCCATGAAGCTGTATTTCACCTCGTACTCTGCTATTCTTCTAACATATTTAGGTCGTCAAAAGTTGGGCTAAATTGTGTTAATGAGAATTGTTCAGTTCAAGTTGGTTTTCAATGCCTATTAGGTGTTTGATGGAATGCCTAATAGCTATTTTTGACCAATGGTTGCTCAACAGCCCTACACAGGCAAGGATATTGACTTACCACTTAGCATCTACATCTACATTTAATTTCCTATTGTGAGTTTACAATTCGGATTTGTATACCTAAGTTCTAACCAGAAATTGGCGAATTCTATTGAAATTGTGTCAATTGGTGGTGAGATTGTGGTGTTGTATAAACAGGATGAACAATAACTTAGGCCCTCAGACCCTGCATACGACCAAATACTGGATTTTTTAGTAATTGGTGGCACGCAACACACATGTACCTTTTCTAGAAGCATAATTTCAATATCAACCATCATACCCTGAATAATTAAACTAAATAACAGAGGAATCATATATCAACACTAATTAACCTTAACAAAATCAATGAAATAAATGATGAGCCAGTATTCCCTCATCATTTGTTTTTTTTAATGAATCGATTTCTTATAATATTCAGTGGTATATGAAGCGAGAGTTTACCCTCGCTCATCGCTTCCCTTCTCTCACATTTGATAACTGCCAATTACTTGTTGGTTTTTTTCTTTTTCTTATCCTCTGACCAATGTACAACTGGGACTGCATTCTGTCCATACTATGAGGAAATTTTTTTGTATGATTATTTATTAACCTAATCTCTACGTGAAATGACTCTTTTGTCCATGCATGCATTCAGGTGGGTAGCGGAAGAGGACACCACAATCAACTTCCTAACAATAAGAATGAAGAATATAATGCTAGTTGGGGTCAAAATAGAGAATTAAGTGGAGTGATGATTGATTAAGACCCATACATGTTGGTCTTACTGTGTGCAGAAGAAACAGATGGGCCCATGACCTCTTGTCTAAAAGTTAATATGTTGTATGATGTTCATCGATATTGCACATACATGTATAAAGAGCATATAACTCTTTTTGTAACAAATATTCAATGAAATGGTGAAAATTTTGTTGTTGCATTATTAGTGTTTACATGATGTGGTTTGTTGTTCAAATCCCTCAAGCTTTAGTCTTAAGTGTCCTACTATTTTAACCAAAAATAGCAACCTACTTACATTTTTTGACAAAAATAACAACTTGCTTATATTTTTTTAACATAAAAAGCCAAAATAGCATCCTATTTTTGTTTTTAACCCAATATAACATCCTACTTTCGTTTTAACCCAATATAGCATCCTGCTTTCGTTTTTAACCCATAATAGCATCCTACTTTCGTTTTTAACCCATAATAGCAATCTACTTTCGTTTTTAACCCATCATAGCAATCTATTTTTGTTTTTAACCCATCATAGCAATCTATTTTCATTTTTAACCCATCATAGCAATCAATTTTCGTTTTTGACCAATAATAGCATCCTACTTACGTTTTTAACCCATAATAGCATCCTACTTATGCTTTTAACCCATAATAACTTACTACTTTCATTTTGAACACATAATTGAATCACACTTTCATTATTTACACATAATAGCTATCTACTTACATTTTAAACACAAAATAACATACTACTTTGATTATTAACAGATAGACCATTAACCATCCAAAATTTTCATTCCAAAACAGCATCAAACATTGTTTGGGTCTTAAACAAAAAAAAGGTAACCAAAACAGAATATTATGAAGCATTTATATTTTCCATTTGTCACAGAAACAACGCATCGCATCTCATCAATGTTTCTCTTGCACTGATTCGTCAGCCTGATACATGAAAAAATTAATAAATTGCTAATATACTTATAATACTTGTAAAATTTTCAAAAATTTAATGTAATATTATAAGTACCTTTCTTTTTGAACAACTAGTAGCATAATGGCCCAATCCTTGACAATAAGAGCATGTTCGTTTTTTTGGCGCTTCTAAAAAAGACTTTATTCTACTTGCAGTTTTAGGACGCCCTTTTGTGTTAGTTGGACCAAGAGGATCCCGGATAGATAACTGAGGCATCATATCTACCTGTGAAATTCGCGCACAAGAAACTTGAGATGTATTTTCAATTGTAATAGATTTCTTCCGATTTTCTTGATCATCTAAAAGACTTATCAATATCTTATTGACTTTTTGTATCTCCGAAGGGGAGTCTCTTGCTTGTTCAATTAGTTTCGTGAAATTTGAACGGACACACCATAATGTTAAGGCACTAACGTCATTTCCATTGTTCATTTCTTCAAGACCGATTCTACCATTACCCACCTTATACCTAGCATTAAGAGTCCACCGATGTAAAATATAGCGACTAGGTAGTGTATCAA